GAGGAGAGGGAGGGGGAAAGGCAGCGAGCAAAGCAAGCGGGGGCACAGTCCACAGGGACAGGGCGCGGGCGGGGGAGGGGGAGGACCGGAGGAGGCAGCTACAAAGAAAAGCTGGAAAGAAGGAGATGATGGCGAGGACTGAGTGAGCAGCGGAGGAAGCGAGGTGCTCAGCTCGGGTCAAGTTGTCGATGGTGGTGCGTGAGTAGAGTACTCTACTGGCGAGTGATGTGTGGGCAACGCCTCGGCAGAGGAAGACGACGAGGCGCCCCATGTAATAATAATCATCCTCGCCCTCTGTTTTCTGTTTCTGCGGGACGCGACACGACACGACATGTACGCCCGCCCGCCCGCCTCCCGTTTTCGTTTTCTCTCGCAGTGGCAGGCAAAGGCAGATTATTCATTTCATTCGTTCACAAGTTTTGTTCTGTTCCTTGGCTTGATATATAACGAAAAAGAGAAATGAGGTTTCATTTCTATTTTGTTGCGGTTATATATCTTGTTTCGAGTTGAGAGGTTGCCGGCGCTTTTGCGTCACGGGCATCCTCGTGTCGCCATTGATGGGCACACGCATTTACGCTCCTCATTGTACGCCGGGCTGCTCTTCATGTGCCCGCCGCCACCACTAGCCGCTATCTCCTCCTACTACACCTCCGTGGAATTTTCTCCGTCCACTAGTAGAAGCGGTGCCACTCATGCTACTATACGAGCCATGAATTTCATCGAAACTAGTTGAGCTAAGCATTATCTCAAACCAAAAAAGTTTGTAGAATTTTCTACGTAGCTTTTTATCACGTATTTCATGTAGGGGGGGAGCAGGGTGGCGCCTTTTGCAGCGCGGAACCTAAAACGCGCCCCAGAATGGAACAGGGACCCGAGCCAGGCGCCAGCCAGTTGCTGGGGTGTAGAGAAAGGAAAAAAGCAATGATGGACGATGAACAGGAGGAGAGGCATGGAAAAACAGTGGAGAATTGAAACCAAGTCGTAGAAAAGCATGCCCCTCCCTGACTTTATAAAGCGGCGGCAGGGTAGGGAATGAATGCAATGCAATGAAATGCATGGAGTATGTGGCGGATCCACCGAGACTGGGCCGAGCAGCGCTTAGCGGTGAGGTCAACTGATGCACCTTTGCTGGTCCTTGGAGCACTGGACGACGTTGATAAAAGATGGACGTACTGGAGCAGGGTGCAGGCAGGGTGGTCGAAAAGCTCGGGCAAGGTGAGTGCATCGTTCAAATCCAGCGCAAATGGGGCTGGGTCGGGGTGTATTTGCTTGACGTACTCGAGTAGGAGAAAGCGTAGACTGTGGGCCCTGGCTATGGCTAGGTTCGGATGCAGGAGCTTGGATGCCTACAGTGGGGAGCAGGGGTGCAGGACCAGCCTCTCGCCCTCTCGCTCTCCCTTTCAGTTTCAGTCACGCGTATGCATGCACGGCGGCAGCGGCGGTGGCAGGGCGGTGGTGCTGGCGTGGTGCCGCCGACAGTGCGTGCCCGGCGGTGATCGAGGGGCTCCAAGTGGTAGAGGTCAAAACAAAGCCGGGGGATGCGTCCCGTGTTGTCAATTCCCTGCCCTGCGCAGCACGGGACCGGCTGGCTGTCCGCACGGTTCACGGAGCCCGGCACGGAATCACAATGCTCCGGTCCGGACGTCCGGCCGGCCGGGGGCACCACGTTGCAGTGGCACGACGCCGCCTCCTGCGGGTACGTACGTACGTGGTACGTTCCCCGTGGCTTTGCGTGTTGCCGGTGCAGACTTGCTTCCCCGGCGACGCAACCGCGCGCGAGGGGCCTGGTGCGCCGTAGCGTTACTGGCCGTCGCCGTCGCACGACGACGAGTCTTCGGTGGTCTATCGTGTGGTATGCCCTTTCGGGAGGTGAAAACGCGTGCCTGGTTTCACCGCGAGACGAGGCGGGTGAGCGGGCAGGAGTGGTGTCTGGTGAGTGGTGACCCGTGTGCACGGCGTGGTGCGGACTGGAGGAGGCCGCTTGTGGTGGCGGGACTCGATGCGTGTGCCAAGGGGCAACGTACCGGTATGGAAAGATCAGCGCGACGACGGCCGGAGGCAACGGAAAGTGCAGCCGATCGAATGAACCAGTGGACTCGACACTGGCTCGTATGTTTGGAACTCTGATTGGCTCTGCTGGGCCCCATGCCACTTCAAGTGCAGTTTGTATTTTCAGAATTGATTTTAACATGAGAAATATGAATCAATTTACATGTCACCTCGCAAAAAAATAATTAAATGTCACGAAGTCGAACTTAACATAAAAGGGCGACTCTACGCGTCATCCGGCTGATCCTTTGTAAAGACCGGATTGGCTGACAACCGTTTGATCTGTTTCATATAGCCGTTAGACCATCACAACACGGATAATGTTGCTGTCACCTATTGCAACATGGATCATGTTGCGCTCAGCTTCAACTTGCCCCATTGCAACATCCACCATGTTGTGGTCATCCCTTGTAGTTGTTGTTGTTATTGTTGTTGTTGTTGTTGTTGTTGTTGTTGTACGACGGCAACAACATGGTGGTCTTGTACGGTTGCCCATTGCAACATGATGCATGTTGCAACATGGACAAGCGCAACACCGCCGACGCTACAACCGCAAGGGCGCTCATGTGGTGGTGCAGTGGACGGTGGCAAGCGTGGTGAGGAGAATGCCGACACATGTGAGGAGAAGGCTAGAGGTAGAAGACATATTGGGCTTGCAACACCCGAGTGTCGCCTTTGTACCACCCGCGGTCACAGTGAGTGGCGACAACAGTGTGGGGCAGTGCTTGCAACGAACGGCGACACGTGGTGCTCCGACCTACAACATCGGCGACAGATGTGTCCTGATTGCAGTAGTGTGCGATGGTGTTGCAGTGGTCGGACAACGGGCATGTGCTAAGGCGTGCAACGACGAGTGTGTCCGTTCCAACAGTGGTGTTGGTGCTTGCAGCATCAGTGACGGTAGCAACGATGTTGGCGACAGTGCACATGGAGCTACAGAGGAGAGAAGCAAGTGAAGGAAGACGGATTGGCTAGTCTCAATATGGATGACGGGAGTAAGACGGGTTTGTGGATATATTTTTTTCTCACACGAGACGTGGGTGGGCCCAAGGGGTACGTGGCGAGCTGTAGATGCAGTGGACACAATGTTGGGGAATGTAGCATGCAATTTCAAAAAAAATCCCACGCTCACGCAAGATCTATCTAGGAGATGCATAGCAACTAACGGGAGAGTGTGTCTACGTACCCTCGTAGACCGTAAGCGAAAGCGTTTCACAACGCGGTTGATGTAGTCGAACTCTCTTCGCGATCCACCGATCGAATACCGAACGTACGACACCCCCGAGTTCTGCACACGTTCAGCTCGGTGACGTTCCTCGCCTTCTTGATCCAGCAAGTTCTCGAGGTAGTAGATGCGTTTCGTCAGCACGACGGCGTGGTGATGGTGATGGTGAAGTGATCCGTGCAGGGCTTCGCCTAAGCACTACGACAATATGACCCGAGGAGTAAACAGTGGAGGGGGGCACCACACACGGCTAAGACAATTGATGTGCCTTTGGGGTGCCCTCGCCCCCGTATATAAAGGAGCAGAGGGGAGAGGGTCGGCCTTATGGCGCGCCCAAGTGGGGGGAGTCCAACTAGGATTCCCAATCCTAGTCGGCCCCCCTTCCTTTCCAACGGAGGGGAAAGAAGGAAAGGGAGGCACTGACAAGGATATAGACCTGGGGCAGGGTCATATGCCCGACCCATACGTCCTACCCAAGTGTTGGAAATATGCCCTAGAGGCAATAATAAAAGTATTATTATTATATTTCCTTGTTCATGATAATTGTCTTTTATTCATGCTATAACTGTATTATCCGGAAATCGTAATACACGTGTGAATACATAGACCACAATATGTCCCTAGTGAGCCTCTAGTTGACTAGCTCGTTGTGATCAACAGATAGTCATGGTTTCCTGGCTATG